CAATAGAAGAAGTATTCATGCACGATCGAGTAGGGAAATTGGAAAAGGAACATCGTGACCTTGACCCTGTCATCGTTCCAGGTCATCGGGTGGGTAAAGATAGAAAACGTGAACGAGTTTTTATTGTGTATTCAAAAGATGTAATGAGACCATCAAATTACCGTTTAGATGGACTTGGTTCGGTTTTGATAAGAAGTCCTTACTTTATATCAGGAGAATCGAAATCTGATTCGAAGAGACAGATTGGAGTGTTATACGATGACAATAGAAAGGCTCAAAAAGCTTTGTCAATTTATCGGAAGAGGCTTTGGGAAACGCATAGCAATTTAAATGTAATACGTATACATTCTGTGACTTTTAGAAACAATATTGAAACCAAAGAACAGCCTTGTGTTGTACTCTACTGTAGTTCAAAAGGCATAGTGCCACTCGGTGAACCGGATTTTCCGAAACGATTGGAAATAGATGAGCATGACTCCGTTGTTGTAATTGTCCGTGAAGGGTACTTTAGACGTGGCAGCGGCTACGAGACACAAGCAAGTGACGCCTATCACAACACTCTAAAAATGGGATGCAACATTGGACGGCTAAACCTCGAGGAAGGTCAACAACATCTGAGTGGCACACTTGGTCCATTTGTGAGGAACAAGAATAACGAAGTTGGCTTCCTCACGTGTGCTCATGTTCTATTTAACATAACAAACTCGTCAGAAAACTTTTATTTTCCTGGTGGTGCCAGCAGTACCATTGAAGTGACCCAACCCTCCCCCGACATACGAACACCCTCTGGTTCAGCATGCGGAATTGTGGACAAAGCTATTTTCGATCCAGGACGCGATACTAGTATTGATGTTGCAGTAGTTCAGTTGACTGACGATAAAAGGATACCAACAGCTGGTCAATTTGCAAATGCTAAAATCAGCAAATTAGAAAAAGCAGGTAAGCTGAAAATTATGTTTGAATAAGCATATGTTCTATAACGATTTCTTTGTGAGTACACTCCTATTTCTAATTGATATTATGATGACGGACTTTATACTCAAGTCGACTCTCCTTCAATTAATTGCAGGATTCAGCGAGTTACCGGAGTACAACAGTGGGGTTTGTGAAACACGTTTGAAAGAAATCGCTATATCGCAGATAGTTTTCAAATTTGGAAGCTCTAGTGACGTCACAAAAGGAATGGTGGACATGAACGGCACACATGTTAGGCTGTTATCAACAGATTTAACTCTGCCAAACAGTAACAAAGCCTACATGACAAATCAGTGTACAATTTCTGGGTCTGATCAAGAATGTGCCTTAGCTGGAGACTCGGGTGCACCAGTGTTTGTGAAAACAACTGGTACTAATGAGTTAAGATGCATTGGAATTGTTATTGGACAGGGATATCTTGCAGTTAACGAAGATACTAAGAACTACCCAGTAGCAGTGTTTACACCCATCGGTGCAGTAATGGAAGCACTAGGGGACGATTACAAGATAGCTTCTTTTCCCGCGTTTCAAGAAGCCCAAAAATGAAGAAAATACAGGAAAATGGGTTTTTTGAAGAAGGGACACCCTTTGGTAAATGAAGTTAGTTTAATATTTATTTTGATGATAACAGTTGGCATTTTGGGCTGCTTTGTTGTTTTAGCAGGAGTTGAGTGTAATGCCCAGTCACTGATCAGGAAATGTTGCATACCCTTTATTACACTGCTGGGTGGGCTGATACACCAAAGCATGAAGACAGATGAGCGTATGGGGAGAATCATTTGCAAAAGTAAAATCATAAATTTTAAAAGACAACCAAAAACTTTGAAAAAGATTATTGTGTACTTCTAAATATATTGGTTCAAAACCAAATGTATCTGTGTCGAAATGTAACAAACCAAGATGTGGTGTTTGTAGTATAATTGTTGAAGGAGAAAAACTTAAGTAAAAGCTAATATAAACTGTAGATATCGGAACGTCGTTTGTGCAAATGGTTCTGAATTTTACATTGGACATACTGGTTATTAAATATTACGTCAAAGTATGACAACAGACAAAAAGTGACCATCTGAAATGTTTAACTGTTAATAAGCATATACATTCTTGTGCAAATGATAGGTTTTATGTAATTTCTATATATCAAGCTACAGCAGACACTGTACAGCGAGAGTCAAAAGAAGCAATGAAAATCGATCTATTAAAACCTGGTTTAAATTGTTCTAACAGCACAGATCGTTGCA